AGTTACCATAAAACATAGAAAGGAGTGATTTTCTGCTGACCTCAAACACTTTGAGGTGCTGAATGCTGACCCTAATTTCAAGGGTTGCATGTATACATATATATATATATATATATATATATATATATATATATATATATATATATATATATATATATATATATATATATATATATATATATATATATATATATATATATACACAATATATATACAATATATATATAATATATATATAATATTTAATATATATATATATATATATATAATATATATATATATAAACAATATATAATATATTAATATATAAATAATATATATATATATAATATATAATATATATAAATAATATATAATATATTAATATATAAATAATATATATATATAAATAATATATATATATATATATATATATATATATATATATATATATATATATATATATATATATATATATATATATATATATATATATATATATATACACACATAAACTACCATTTGTCATGTTACCTCAATGCGAACATCTTTTTCTTTCGTTTCTTTCATTCCTGAAGTAGATAACAATAATTTAAAAAATTCACTTTTAGCAGCTAAAATGACACTATGTACATAAACTTTTGTTTCTTTGATAATACGCTTTGATTTTGGTTGTTCAATTTTTGATGGTTTTAATGAACATTCAGTATTAGAATCATGTATAAGTTCAGTTTTCACTGAACTGTGAACATAACAGGGTGAACTTCGTGAAGCAAATAAATTAACTTGTTTTGGTGTTTGCAAACCAGATGCAAGTGGCATATCTCCAGACATAGTCTTATGTAAAACCTGTAAGGTCACCTCTGAAGACTGATTCACAGATTTGATCATATCATCAACTGAAAACTCAGGCTCTATGTTTAGCTCTAAATTTTTAACTACAAACGGTGATGCTGCATTGGTTAGTACTACAGATCCAATCTCAGTACATTCTTCTTGTTTTATTGTAATCAATGGAGCATCTTGCTCCTCAAGATTTTCTTGCTCACTTAGTGTATCAGTAAACTCAAATATTTCTTTATCAACAGTATCATCATCTTCATATTCAATATTATTAATGGTTGGAGAGATTTTAGCACGCTAAATTAAAAAAATTTTGATTAAAATTTTTTATGCAATATAAAAAGATATAAATATATATAATATATAATTAAAGATAAAAAAACACATTTTATAAAAAACACAAATATCATAAAGTATACAAACAGTAACAACCATTATTAGCTGAATTAAAACTGAAAAACAACCATTTAACATTATAATTTAATATAATACACAGAAAGATAAACTTTCATTTGCTGTATATACTGTTTTTTTAAATTTTAAATACAGTTAAATTTAAAAACTTAAATTCAAAATTCTGGTATCCTTGTTAACTTGAATACTTAATAACTAAGAACTTTTGCTATCTTAAGCTATATTCTTCAAGAGTCCCTTTGCTTTTTATAAACTAGTAAAAAAACTTTCTGGTTGGACCTCAGATAACTCTTACACTTATTAATTACCCCTTCCCCCCTCTTCAACAAATTTCTTTGGATAACTCAAACTGTTCATATAGGAAAAAAAGAAACAAAATGTTTTGATTAAAAAAATTTTTGAAAAGTTTATGCATTACCAATATTTTTATTCCAAATGTTTAACTTTAAGTGTAGCAGCAGACTAATAATAAAGCAATTGACTTACAATTAAGAAATTGGAAGTTTACCATAATATGGAAATAATGGTTATACTTAATTCACATAAAGTGAACATATTATATCCACTTTATATCTCTGAAAATGTCAACCTGTTTCTCTACGCAGCAACAAGATTTGTGTTTCGGAGTTTAGGGTTGCAAATAAAATATGTAATGAAATAAATTATACAGTTACTTAAAGTTAAATTCACCCCCTACCCCAAAGGTTCCAGAAGGGCCTCAACAACAAGATTGTTGGGAAAAGAAACAAGATGAGACATGAAGAATTTGAACTTCAAACATCTTGATTGTGAGCCAAATATTCTCCACTAGTCTACTACTACATCAAATCGGCTGATATAGATGTAAACTTGTATTACATTGTTTCCTGCCTAAGATAATGAATGCTAGATCTTTCTAACTCTAATCATGTGTTTTTACTTGTGCTAGCATTGGCTATGCGACTCTTTCTGTTATCTTCTAATAAGAGTACAGCTCTAAAATAACAAGGAGGCCTAAAGTAGCAACAAGGATATCAAACCATCCATATAAAATTTTAATTTTATTTTTAATTATTATTTTAAACCTAATAATAATATTGGTCAATTTTTCAAATAGTTTGTGTTAAATGTTTAGATCTTTTAAAATAAACTACTTTAATTCATAAATTAAAAAGAAACAACATATAATTTTATTATGTCTTTAACATAAATGCAATATAATTACTGATTATTACTAATAGCTGATATAATTACTGCTGAACTTATGCTATATATGACACTTTACGTTAGTGTGGCAACTGCAGAAAGATTTCTTAATGCATTGAAAAGAATTAAAACATGTTTAAGGAAAACATCATTTTAAAACTATTTATCTGCACTAAGCATATAAGCTCTTGAAGTAGGAGTGGCATCTTGATTAAATTTGAAAGGTGTTTTAGACGAATTTGTAGCTAAGAAAGTAAAAAAAAAGAAGATAAATGAAAGAAAAATAATGCCTTAAGATTCTCTCTTGCCTTCATGTTTTCTTACAGTTTATTATGTCTTCTGTAACCGCTTTTTTATTTTTAACTCTCTTATTTTCATTTTGCCAACTCCCAACTTAAATAATGGTTGCTAGCAACCTTGTTGCGAGTGAATTTATTAAAAAAAAAAAAATTTAATATTATTTAGTAGTATTATTATTTTGAACATTTTTGCAACACTAAGATACAAACTGTTAAACAGTATGGCACGTAAAGATAAATACTAAAATACAATTTGATGAAAACTTGTTTTAGACTTAGTTAAACAAGAAAAAACTTCTAGAAAACTTACAAATATTCCATATACAACAATAGGAGCCATTGTAAAGAAATACAAATATGATTCCTACTGAGCAAGGGCAAATACTTCATCAATTTTAAGAGATGATAGAGAAATTTTAAGAATGATTAAAAAAATTGATTTAAAAGTGCAAAAAATATAGCAGGGTTTAGTGGATATATAACTTGTAAAAACCCAATTATAATAACTTGTAAAAAGTACAATTTAATGCTAGTATTATTTTGGAAGAAAGTTTTTTGGTTGAAATCCAAGTTTAACTTAAAAAAATCTGATGGTGCACAACGTGTTTAACAAAAGAGGGGCAAAATATTTCATTAGAGTTGCATGAGATGAACAGTTAAACATGATGGTGGAAGTATAACTTTATAGGATTGTTTAGTGTGGAATGGTATTGGTAATTTATAAAATAATATATTAAACCAAAATTTAAAATTTTCTGGATTAGGAAACAAATTTGTGCTTCAAAATGATAATGATCAAAAACGCACTTCTGAAAAATTTGTTAAAGATATTTTCTGAATTACTTGAAAAACAGGAAAGAGTCTTTAAAGCTTTTGTGAATTAATAAGTGAAAATGCCTCTGTTATTGCAAAGACATAATTTAAATAATTAATTGATTTGAAACAAAAAAAAAACAAATTGTTTTATAATATAAATAAAAAATATGTTAGAGTAACTGATCAGATGTTAAAGAATTATTTTTTTGGTCACAAAAGTGGAGTAATTAAACTTTCAGAAGTGGAATCAGAAAAACCTTTACAGTGGTTTATATGCCAACTTCATGCAAATGAGCTAGCCCTTCACCACCTTTTAATTCATTTGGATGGATCTACAGCAAATAGGTTATTGCAAATTTGATTACTCTTGTAACATATATCATGAAGGTGTATGCCCCAGTTTGGTTTTTAATTAAGGCTGTTTCATCTTGTAAGGATGGTACCCATCATGTTTAGCAAACAATTTAGAAGCCTCTCTATTTATCTGAAGACCTAATAGCAGTAATTGAACCAGTAATTCAGGACAATCCTTATTTTGCACATCCTTAAATAATCTTTTGTGTATGCTTCATAGATCATCCAGGTCATATTTTAAAAATCAACTCTGATTCGTGCCCTTATTTATCAAAATTTCCCTATATTATAGATGAAGGACCTTTTTTTTTTAGGTACAAACTGTCCTTTTTGCCTCCACCCCCCACTCTAGGTGATCCTATACTTGTTTATTTAAACTGGGCCTTTGCCACTTTATATGTAGCTTTCCTTAATTTATAATTCATACTCACTTTAAGCAGAATTCAAAATAGAAAAGCAATCAGAGGATGCTTTTCTTTGACACTTGATGCTATTCATTAAATGATGAAAAATTCAAGACTTTAATTTTCCTTGAAATGTTCATTAATGCTGTGTAAAAAGTTTCAGACATGGAGTTCTGAGACTGATGCATTTTAGTATTGTATTTTTAATGGTCTAAAATTTTAGTATTGTATTTTTAATGGTCTATAATCTTCCATTTGCTAACTAACATTTCAATAACAATGTCACACTCCAAAATTGTTGTATTTTGTTTTTCCGAGCGACCTGCAGTAGCTGCAAAAACTTCCAATAAATCTGACAGCGATTTCAACAGGTCCAAGTCGATGTCATTTAACATTCTTCAAAAGTTCTCACTTCTTTAACAAAAAAAAAGAAGGTATTTTGATTTTTGTGGTTTTAAAAAGATACCACTATACTCAAAAGATCTTTTGAATAGTATGAGTATGTTTTATTATATGGTTTTGAATACAAAAAGCTTTTTTTCTATTCACAACCTGACCCACTATGCAATACCAATTGCCTTGTGACATAAATTAGTGGTGTCATTGAAGAATTTTTGCCAATAAGAACATTTGCATTTTCAAAACAACAATAAAAAAAGCAGCGTAGAGATAAAATAAAAATTATTTTACCAATAAAAAAAAGTTTTCTTAAAACTTTGCCAGAGTTGAAGTTTTTCGGTTCCTCTCAAACTCAGAAACTCCAAAAAATTACTAAAAATCTGATAAGACAAAGTTCCAATTGGATCTATTGATGAAATTTATCCAAAACTCTACAAAATAATTGGTCAAAATAGCAATTAACTTTGATGGAATCTATATTTTATTTACAATCTCCCTATAATCTAAATTTTATATACATTCTCCCTAAACACCAGGGTTTAAGTGTAAAAGTTGCATTAAAGAGCAAATCATTGTTCAGTCATTTTGATTTGAATTGATGATTTGTCTTCTATAAGCAAGTTATTTGAGGTCATTGTCTTGCACATATTTTGAGCAACCCTATAACTCTCTAACACAAACCTTGAAATCCTATACTTCACAATACAAACCTTGACAATCCTATACTTCCTAAAACAAACCTTGATAATCTTATACTTCCTAAGACAAACCTTGACAATCCTATAATCCTAACACAAATCTTGACAACACTCTAACTCCTAACACAAATGAAGACTTTTTAGTTTTCTCTGAAACTTTAAAAGTGTAAACTAGTATAAAACCTAAATAGAACTAAAAGCAGTAGTGGAATTTAGTTTCTGGAACCAGTAGTCAATCAAACCAGTAGTGGAATCAAAAAAACTGATTCACACTGATTCTTGTGAGCTGTTACTTAGAAAAATCTAGGTTTGCAGGAACAGCTGTATGCACAACTGCAGTTTCTCCCTAATTATGAAAGAGAATTTACAATGATTCAAAAAAATACAAAAACATGGCTCACAAAATTTGTAGAAACTGCTCTAATCTGAGCTTGAAAATGAAAAAAATTTAATTAAAACACAAATACTTTTTTTTAATACCTTGGTAACATGCATTATCTTTATAAACTGTTAAAAAAAGTACTGGTTTCCATAACCATTATTTAGTTATTAGAAATTATTATTATTTTTTTGATTGTGTGTGGACCATTTTTCAAATTTTTGAGAGTGCTAACCCATTTTAAATATTTTAAATCCCACCACTGACTACAACAAAAACAGAACCTGGGCACCTCTTGTCAAAACCTGGGTACCTTTTTTGGATATAATGTAAATTTTAGGATATATTTGAAATAAAAAATAATGCATAAATGTTTCAACGCATAGACAATGGTATAAAATGTTTAAAAACACAAAATAAAATATAGTTAAAAAAACCTGTTTAAAAACAAGTCAAAAAGCTTCAAAAAACTAAAAAATACAAAAAAAGAATAGAATCAAAAAAAAAATTACAAAAAAAAATTACACAAAAAAAAAGTAAAAAACTAATATACAACCTTTGGTTCACTGCTGATACTTTCTTCACTACAAAATTGATTTTTTTTTTCTTTTCTAAATAATTCACTATGACTTGATTTGTGGTTGCTGTAAGAGTTTGGACACTAAATAAAATTTATATGAAATTTTTTTTTACTGATATAAAAATTGTAATAAAAAAAAAAATGATAATATAAGCTTATCACATCTTTGAAATTTTTTAATACTTTTTAAAGAATCTTTTGAAAAAAACATCTAAAATAAATATAAAAGAAAATGATAAAAAACTAAAATATTCAAAATTTAGATAATAGCATTTATTATACATACAAAGAAAGTAAACCTTGTTGTTATTACAATAGAAAAACATTTGATAAAGCTTAATATGCACGTCTTTTCTAATTTCCTTCTTATGTATCTAAGAACGTTTATAAAATAATTGAACAATTCTTTTTTTAATTGCATTGCTTAAACCATCCTATTCTCTCCAGTAACCTCTGGGGTACCATAGAATTCTATATTTGATTCTGTGGCTGCTCCATATTTGGCTCCCTAATTATCTCTAGATATTCTTAAACGTGATCTTTCTTTTGTGATAGCCTGTGGGGTAGGGGGGTTTGTGGGGCTTGCAGTGGCCGTTGAATTTTAACTTGAAAAAACTCAGTTGTTTGTTGCTAATTATTATTGCAATATTATAAATATTTCTATAGTTGAATGGCAAAACTCTTACTGAGTCTAGTAAGTGACGGGGTTGATATTTGACTGGGGCTGGGTTTGATAAAACATAGCTATGTCAGGTTTGTGACCGGGGCTGCATAAACATTTATACATCACAAAGTATTTTTTTAATTCAAAATTCATGATGATGATGATGATGATCATCATCATCATTACCATCATCATCATTGTCACCAGGCTTTAGCCTTTCTATTTAATGCTGTTTCTCTAATATAAACAATCTAAAGCATTTTTTTTTTCTTAACTAAAGCTCATTCATACAATATATAAGGCACTCTCTTCAAGTTTCTGACTTCTACCACTACCATTTTTTACTGAAGCTGCTACCTCTCCTACCTACATCCTGGTACCTAAATTACTTCAATCTATTATAACAAACATTGTTCGATACAACATTCATTCTAATCTCTCGATTATGCCTCCATTTCTTGTTTTGCTAGAGTCACACCACACATCCATCTGATCATTTTCTCTTTCAGCAAATACTACACCATATAAATACGAAAGTTTATATAACAATGAAAGAATATTGTATATCAGCATCTAAATAAATAGCAAACATATATGTTTATATCCATAATATGTATGCATAAAGCGTATCTTGGAAGCTTTTATTTCTTCTGGACATAAAGTTTAAAAGCTTTTATTCCTACTCTTCAATTTTAAGTCAATCTACTCCACATTTTTTATTATCTTGAGCAGTTGCTTTATTAAACATTAATCATTTTAAGCCAATGTAAATGAAGTACTGTCTGATGTTAAGCTCTAATATTATCAGTTTACTAAATCTGGTATCTTATCTCAGATGTTAGGTTCTAGAGACTTGGTTAGTCTTTAAGCCTGTTATTAACTAAAGTAAGTCTAACATTTATTCTCTAATTTATGGATCTGGTCTTTTTACTTCTCCCTAAAATAAAGCAGATTTATTTGCAAAGAAATTTTACTCTAATTTGACTCTTCAATATAATGGTCATACTCTTCTTGACAGTAAACAGATTAATCCATTGTTAAACATTAAAATCACTCTGGCTTCCAATGTTAAAGTTAATACACGATTTCCATCATAGTCTTAAAAAAGTGTTCTCCAGAGCTCTCTTCAATTTTTGCTAAACTTTTAAAACGTGCTAAATAAGTGGTTCAATTTTTCAAAACTCTAGAAAACACTTTGGCCTCTACAACTATCCTACGATTAGTTTTCACTCTGTTATTAGTTTTATTTATATAAAGGTTTTGAGGTTATTAAATTATTTCTTTCTAATTAGGTCTTTCTAAAAAGACCTAACCTCTCCTTATTTCAAGTAGTAGTTTCATTTTGAAGTAATTCATAACTTAATAGTGGTTGCTTGCAATCTTGTTGGAAGTAAATTAGAGTTTAAAATATATAAATGTATGCAGTATTTAATAAATAGTAAATGTAAGCATAAAATTATAATATACTAGGTTTTATAATTTTTATAAGGTTTTATAAAGCAGAAAATCACTTTGCAAAATTTTTTTTTTCATTTAACACTGTGTTTCATCAATAAAGACTCATCAGAAATGCATTTCTGATGAGTCTTTATAGATGAAACCCAGTGTTAAATAAAAAAAAAAATAATAAATTTTGCAAAGTGATTTTCTACTAATTTGTAATTGCTCTGTTCTTTTAAGAACGTTGAGCACTCTTTTTGTTGAATACATTTTAAATTGTTTAAATATATATATATATATATATATATATATATATATATATATATATATATATATATATATATATATATATCGATTCTTGTATCTTTAGATAAATATATTATTGTTGAATAAAGTCTTTATCAAGAGGTCTATTTCATTTATGAGTTCATAACAATAGATACCTTCAATTACTATTTTTACTTAGACTTTTGTTTTTCTGACGATAAAATATATTTTGTCGTTTTAGATAAAGCTTCATCAAAAAAATGTTATGTTTTTAATCAATGATTGTTTTTGCTATACTTGTGACAAATGAATATTTAAAAACTTATGTATATGTATATATATATATATATATATATAAATATTGTATGTATAAAAAATGTGTATATGCATATATATATATATATATATATATATATATATATATATATATATATATATATATATATATATATATATATATATATATATATATATATATACATACATACATACATATATATACATATATATATATATATACATACATACATATATATATATATATATATATATATATATATATATATATATATATATATATATATATATATATATATATATACATATATATATATATATACATATATATATATATATATATATATATATATATATATATATATATATATATATATATATATATATATATATATATATATATATATATATATATATATATATATATATATATATATATATATTACCTCCTCTACTTCAACTATATAAAGAATGCGGTCACTAAGAGTTTCACAATTAAAAAAGTCTTCAAATGATTCATCAGCAGGTACAGCCATGCCTCAGTGTAATTGTTGAATCAGGATTTCATTTATGACTATCCAGATTAAAAATAGCACTATGTACTTCGATTATATTACTTTATGCTAATTTTGTTTACAATTTTATACTAATACGTTAACTCTTATTAGTCTTTCTGTATGCGTATTTAATTGTGTTGTTTCGTTTTGATAAAACCCATTATATTTACTTGAGCAACTTGAGAGTATTATTTATTACGGAATTTTTGATTACGACGCTAGATAATAATAATAATAGACCACTTTATTACGACAGGTCTCTAATAAGATGGGTCCTAGCGTCGCAAAAACAAAAAAGTGATTTCAAAGCTTTCGAAAACGCTTGGATCGATTAAGATCTGATAAATGAAGGAATTTTTATTGGTAAAAAAATATCTTTTTAAAATTCATTAAGATAAAAAATGTATACTAATTAAGTTATTGAGACACATAATGAGTCATTCAAAAACCTCAGGATATTTAGAAACAGGCCCAGAAGTAAGTACAGATATGCCGAATCTGATTCGCTGATTTTTGAAATAAATGCATATGCGCATTTGTTAAAAAGTGAATTAAAAAATCAAATCTAACAGTTTTTGAAAAAATTGTTGAAATATTTAGTTATTTAAACTTGTTATTATCACTAGAAAAAAATCATTACATTTAAGTATTTCAAGTGTTTGGACAAAAGAACTCTCATTTTTGAAATTCTTAAAATTTCTCAAAAAGTCTATTTGAAACTGCCGTAAAATCATTTAGTTTATTAGCTTGAATAAACTCTACGGTGGTGACGTGAAATTCAAAATGATGTCACTAAAAGGAATTAACCAGTGAGCATTATTTCTAAAAGTAATTAAACAAATAATTTAAAATATTATTAAAAGAAAGGTTTTGTAAACATTTTTCAAACATTTTATAAACGTTTTATTAAAAATTAAAAAATCCTTTACGGACGAAATAAATTTTGGGCGACTGATTAAATGCGAATTTCATAACAACTAATCTGCATAAAGAGCTAACTGGCGTAAATGCGAATAGGCATAAGAGCAAAGCAATTGCAAAAGCAAGCATAAGTGTGAATGGGCATAAGTGGGCTAATAAAATTTGCTAAGAGTGGCATAAATGCAAACCGGCATAAGTGCGCCTAAAGAATATGCAAACGTTTGCATAATGTTTAAACATTAGCATAAGCCTCTCGATAAACTTTACGCCGTTTAACAGCAGAAAAACTTTGTTTATTTAAAATTTAAAGTCGCTGATCTATGAAGCATACTTAATACAAAGTTAATATGCAGTTGTGCAAGACTACTGGTAAAGGTAGACGTGTATTTTAGGCACCCCCTTTAATAAGTCAGTAAAATAGTCTTATGCGAAACAAATTTTATTGAAAACCATAGTCTTATGCGAAACAAATGTTATTGAAAACCATACTCTAACTAAACCCTGACTCTAAGTTTAGGGTCAGATTTTTAATAAAATAAACTTTATGTTTAGGTTCAAGTAAACGTGTATTTATGAATAATACTTGTTTTGCGTAAAACGTAAGACTCGTTTTTTATGGATTTACTAAAGAGGGTGTCTGAAATACACGTCCACCGTGCTATATGCTAACTAAAATACTTTAGCTGGTGCATGGAATTGTAGTAAGGAGGTGTTGATGTAAGCACTTTACTGCATCTTTATAATAACTTGTTGATTACAAAAATTTAAACATTAAAGTTTAACAAAAACAGAAAATTTCTTTTAACAGAAAATTTAACAAAAGTGTTTAAATTTGTGTGTTTTGTCTACTGAATATTTATCTTTTGTAAAGTTGTGTATCAATAATTTTTTTTTCTTGATTATATAATATAACAAGTTTTAACAAAAAGCTTCATACAATAATATTGAAAAATCGTTTTAGATAATATACAATATTAACAAAAAGGGACTCAAAGAAGGCATGGATGATAAGACTATTACTTTTTGTAGAGTCCCTTCGATAGCCTTTTTTTTTTAATTGCATTTAATATAACACCCAGAGGCGACTCTACAAATAAAATGAGGAGGGATGGGGGGTGAATCAATAAAAAGTACCGACTGGTGCCACTTTTATACTAAGACCCCATCTCGCCCCGTTTTTCATAGTATTACATCTAGTCTAAAATACCCCTATTTTCCCACTCTTGTGTTAAGGACGCAAAGTTACATCCATTTACTTTATCTGTCCCTTCATGCTTTAAAAACTTTTACTCATCTAGTTTTTTTTTCTTTACTTCAATTCATTGGAACTGTCTCCTATATTTATCAGTGGACTGGCTAAATATATTTTATTGGCCAGGCAAATAATTAAGAGGCCCAACCTGCATATATTGCTAAGACAACCTGGTCCGCAAACTTCCAAAAAATTACCCGTATGATGAACTTGAAATCAAAAACTAATCAATTCATAATGATCTAATATAGCACAGAGTGATGTGCAAAGTATAGCAATAAATATTCTTTAAGCAGTCTGCTAAATTTAGAAGACAAAATATCTTTCAACGAATGTACCACATTCAAGGCAATAGACTTTTCTTGACAGACATCAACATATACGACTCCAAGTGGTCATTCAATAGAAATTCGCAATCTCGTCATGATTAACTTTAAATTTGAAAATAATGCGGTAGTGGTGTAGCGGTAGAGCGCTCGCTTCATAAACGAGTGGTTCCGAGTTCGATCCCCACCACGTCCCTGGTAGTACCGCGCTCAACTCGTTTCTCTGCGCAGCGGCCTTGTTCGTCAAGGTTCGTGTTTCTGAGTTATAGAGTTGAGAGAGGGTTATAGCCACAAAAAATAAGTAGCCTCCTCGTCTGTAGTGGCCTTCTCGGCCTTGAGGAGGTGAAGTATAATAAAAAAATTAAAAAAAATTTGAAATATTTAACTACTTTTTCCAAATTCGCCAAGTAAGTAAAGGCAGGCAAAATGGTGTCAAATTTCAGAAATGGCAAGAGCAATGTCTCAGCTTCATGACGTGTCTTTGCACCAAAATATTCTGTTTTACTAATACATGATAGACATGAAATCAAATTGAAAAACACTGTCGAAAATTGTCGATTTACCTGACCACCTTGTTTTATCAATCAGTTTCAATTTTTTCATCTTTTCCATTTCATCCATGATGATATTTGCTTATATGACACTTTTATGAATGTTGGAACATTTTGCAGAAGGTTAAAAAGTAAAATCGCCTAAATACAAGTGGTTGCCTCTTTCACAATTAAGTTGAGAACACGACCATAACATCAAATATGTTTATGGTGGTCTGCAGTTTTAGTAATCTTTTGTAGCAGTCCATTGTATTGACTATGATAGTTTGAAGCACTATCAGTGCTTTTCAAGAGACACTTTTTTTATTTGTAGTAAATAAGGTGTTCCCAGTAGTCCTTACCGTCTTATCACAGAGTACTGCGGAAGAGCATTTAACTAGGAAATTCACGTCTCCTTCCTTACAAATGCTGCTTTATGGGTTAGAGCCGGGGTCGAATCTCGCACCTCTGGGTTCTGAGCCAGAACTTTATGTGATATGTTTTTTTTTTTTTTTTAATTTTACTTCACCTCCTCAAGGCCGAGAAGGCCACTACAGACGAGGAGGCTACTTCTACTACGGAGAAACGAGTTGAGCGCAGTACTACCAGGGACGTGGTGGGGATCAAACTCGGAACCACTCGTTTATGAATTATGTATGTGACCTGAATAATTGTGGTATGTGATATGTGATCTGAATGAATAAATACATTTAGAACAGTGGTGTACTAATTTACAAATAAAATATCAAATTCAAAATCAAAACTAAAGTTAAATGTTTTTGTTTGAAAGTTAAAAAAAAAAAAATAAAAAAAGTTTTTAAACTGTTTCGAACAATTCTAGAGTCTTTAAGATTTACTCAGCGTTATGTAAGTTGAACAAAAGAAATTCCATTGTTCTTTTTATTTCTTTAATAAAATACATTTACTTTTGTAACATTAGAATGTTAAGAAAGTTTATTCGACTTTTTTTAATAACGTTTTAACGCAATAAAATTTTAAGAATGCAACAATAGCTTTCTTTAAAAAAGCTATTGCTAACATTTTAACTTTTGCTAAAGCTATTGCTAACATTTTAACTTTTTTAACATGAAAACTTTCTTAACATTTTAAAGTTAGTTATTATTCAAGCTCATCTTGCTAATTAATATTTTGTGACGTATAACATTTTTGGGGGTAATTATTTATTTTACCTTTAATTCCTCCTTCTCCTTTGTATATAAAAATAAATTTGGTTAAACTTTTTTGATAAACTAGTAAATAAACAAAAATGTTGATTAAAAAATAAATGAAACACCTATAAAAATATGTACATTTTTAATAACAAGCAGCTATCTACATTGCTTAGAATCGAGTTGCGTTATTACGAGAGTGCAATATAAAAAGAGTGTCAAAAACCAGGTTTTTTTTCGGATTTTTTTTAAATATAATTAAAAACTAAAAGTATAAATAACATTATCACCAATGTATATTGACATAATATGTATGATGCATAATTTAATTTGTACCCGGTGACAAAATGATAAAAAAAACTTTTATTAGGCATGGAGCATAGCTTCAAAAAAAGAATTTTACCTAATCGCTTGGCTTCAGGCTTGATGTTTTTTTATCGCGACGTTAGAATTATCTTTTTCTATCTCCACTTTTTGAAATAAATGAGTCATTGATAGTGTTGTGTACCTAAGAATATTTTCTACTGTATTGAAACTTAAGTTATAAGTAAAAAGGTTGCGGAGAAAACATAAGAAACATGAGTTATAAAAAAAATTTTATTTGCCGTCTCCTAAAGTCTTTCTTTTTTAAATCGTTTTATCTCAAAAATCAAAAATGTGGAGATAAAGCAAGATAACTCTAACATCGCGCTATGTCTACCGATGTTGTCTATCAATCTTCAAAAACAGTTGTAAACTCATGCATGTTGCTATGTAAAAACAAGCAACATCGATTTTAATAACACACTCAGAATATGTTTGAGAACTGCTCACAGAGTTATTGAAAACGTCAAGTGAGCTCAATTTAACTTTTAATAGCATATTAATTACATGTTATGCAAAGCCTGAAATTACAGTAGGAAACAAATTACCAGATCTTTTTTTTCTGATATTTAAAATTTTTTAAATCAATTCAAGGGGCCCACTGGTCAGCAGAAAGTGACTTGAGCCCCGGCTTCGACTAAAAATGAGACTTTTTGCAAACCCGGCCCCGGCAAAATTATAAGATTCAGCAGGGGTTGATAGCCGAGGCTAGAAAAAAACTTATAGTACTTTATATATTATAATTTTATATTTACATTTACTACTTATTAAATACTGGCGTATATTTATATATTTTTAAACTCTAATTTACTTCCAACAAGATTGCAATTAACAACCAAGTAACCACATTAAGTTATGAGTCAC